ATGAACTCCCACTAGCATGGGTCAGCTGTGTCTGTGGGTTTCCCCATCATGATCTTGACCCCTTTGCTCATCTAATCCCTCCTCCCTCTCTTCACCTGGACTCTGGGAGCTCAGCCCAGTGCTTAGCTGTGGATCTCTGTGTCTGCTTCCATCAGTTACTGGATGAAGGCTCTGTGATGACAGTTGAGTAGTCATCAATCTGATAACAGGGGTAGGTCACTTCAGACACTCTCTCAACTATTTCTGGGATCATCCTTGTGAATTCTTAGGAATTTCTCTAGCACCAGGTTTCTCCCTAACCTCATAATGACTCCCTCAATCAAGATGTTGCTTTCCTTGCTCTCCCTCTCTGTCCCTCTCCCAGCTCAACCATCCTGTTTCCTCATGTTCCCCATGCCCTCCCCATCATCTCTCCCTCCCCCTATGTCCCCTTTCCAGGAGCATCCATCCTTGTCTCTCTTAGGGTCCTCCTTGTTCCCTAGCTTTTTAGCAGTTGTGGGTTGTAGCCTAGTTTTCCTTCTCTTTATGTCTAATATCTGCTTATGAGTGAGTACATACTGTGTTTGTCTTTCTGGTCTGGGTTACCTCACTCAGGATGGTTTTTCTAGCTCCATCTATTTGCCTGCAAATTTCAAGGAGTCATTTTTTTTAACACTGTGTGATATTCCATTGTGTAAACGTACCACATTTTCTTTATCCATTCTTCAGTTGAGGGACATCTAGGTTGTTTCCAGGTTTTGGCGATTTCAAAAATGCTGCTATGAACACAGTTAACCAAATATCTTTGTTCATTCTTGATATGGGGGAGGGGCTTGGTCCTGCCTCAACTTGATATGCCAGACTTTGGTGACTCTGACTCCCCATGGAGGCTTTACCCTTTCTGAGGAGTGGATGGGCAATGGGATTGGGAGAGTGGGGGTGCAGGAAGAGGGAACGGAGGGGAAACTGTGGTTGGTATATAAAGAGAAAAAAAAACTTTTAAATAAAAAAAAGGAACCAAGGAACCATTACCCCCCCCCAAATAAATGACCCATATATCTGTGCTTATTGTTGATAAGAAACTATACTTCAAAGTATCTATCTTGTTTCAGGATGGTATATGTCACATCTTTGTGTTTAAAGTCGTTAGTTTTTTGTTTGTTTGTTTCATTTGTTTGTTTGGTTGGTTTGGTTTCTCTCTCTCTCTCTTTTTTCCTCCATCAAAAATATCCCAAAAGGGTCTGAAGAGCTAGCTCAAGAATTAAGAGCATTTTGTTGCTCTTGCTGAGGACCTAGGTTCAATTCCTAGCACCTACATAGCAACTAGCAACTGTCTGCAACTCTAACTATCTGCAACTCTAAGTCCAGGCATCTAAAGCCCTCCTCTGACCTCCGAGGATACTACACAAAGGCAGTAAACACATAAACACACTCACACTAGATAGATAGATGATAGATAGATAGATAGATAGATAGATGATAGGTAGATAGATAGATAGATAGATAGATAGATAGATAGATAGATAGATAGATAGATGATAGATAGATATGTGTGTATGTATGTATATGTGTGTATTTGTTTATATGTACACCAGTCATTACATGCCTTTAATCCTAGTACTCTGGAGGCAGAGGCAGGTGCGTCTCTGCGAATACCAGGCCAAACTAATCAACATAACAAGTTCCAGGACAGACAAAGTTAGATAGTGAGATCCTATCTCAATAGGCAAACAAACAATAACAGCAACAAATCTCACAAGCAAACTGAGGAGTGAAATGTTTTTAAAGTATAAGCAGATATGCTTTAATTTACCCACATTTACAAAAATTAAGTAAAAATTAAATAAACAGGAGCCACCTTAGGAGATGGGCCAGGCAACTTAATACAGTGATTCTCAACCAAGAGAGACTTTGCTCCCTTCTCAGACACTTAGCAATGTTTGAAGATGTTTTTGATTGTCACAAGAGAAAGAGAGTACTACATCTGGATGGTTAAATCAGGGATCCTAAAATACACAGATCACCTATCACAAAGAAAATCCAGCCCCAAACGTCAACAACGGCAGCGCTGAGAAGCCCTGGTCTATAAATACAAATGGCCCTGGATATACAAAGCCATTCTGAATGTACAAAATCATTAATAAATAATAGAGCCGCCGCACCGGTGATCACATAAATAGTACATTAAAGGTACTATATACATTTGAGAGCGAAGCTAAGGAGCCAGGACTTGCAGTTGCTCCCTTCATTACAGATTCGCCTAGCAACAGAGATGACTAGTTAGGTGCTAAAGAACGTTGCTGCCATCTAGCGGATAAGACAAGAAGCAAATTTCCCCCAAATGCCGTGCTGTAGTCCAAAGGAACAAGCTGCAAGATCTCTAGCTCCACATTTCCCTTTCACAGCACTAAAAGGAGAAAGAGAAAAAAAATCATTCATCTCCAGCCCATGTGTATGGTATGGAGCTGACGGTATGGTGTGCTATGGTATGGTGTGGTGTGGTATGGTATGGTATGATATAATATATTTCTGATAAGGACTAGCATTTGATTTTATTCTCAAGCTCAGTTGCAGAGGAGAGGGTCCACTAGCAAACCGAGAATTGTCCTGTAAGACCTCGTTCTATGCATCCTTTTCTCCAGACCATAGCCGGGCGGCACTTAGAAATCACGATGGTCCATTTGCTTTTGTCACATTATGAGATTTTAAAACCTAAGTCAAATCAGATGAAGTGACTACAAAGAAGAACCAAGCTGGGCCTGGAGAGATGGCTCAGCAGTTTAAAGCCCTGGCCCTTGCAGGACCAGGTTCAGTTCCCAGCACCCTCAGATGGGTTCACAACAACCTTCTGTAGCTCTTGTTTCTGCGCATCTGATGCCCTTTACTAACCATGTTGGGCATCAAGCACACATGGGGTGCACAGACATAGATGCAAGCAAACATTCATACACAATAAACAAATAAATGAATGAAAATAAATAAATAATCTAAAAACCAGTAAGAAAAAAAGAGCCAAGGTTTGAAAGACAAAAGTTTTTCTCTAAACAAACACNAGAGAGAGAGAGAGAGAGAGAGAGAGAGAGAGAGAGAGAGAGAGAGAGAGAGAGAGAGAGACGCACAGGCAAGCAAACATACATACCCACAGATAAATACACACACACTCACACACATACACACACACACCACATACCTACAAATGTAACTGCTGAAAAGAACCAAGGACTTTGAGAGGCATGAAAAAGTTTGGGGTTTTTTATTGTTTTGTTTATTTGTTTCCTCTCCAGTCTCTGGAGAGTTGTACTCAGACTGTAGGCAAGACATTCCCCTAGAGGCTCACTTTTCACCCTCTATGTAGTCTTCCTCAAGCTTCTCTATAGCTGAGAAGACTGAGCATGATTGATTGTCTGCCACTACCATAGCTGAAAGGCTTCCTCCACCTCCATCCTAGGACCTCCCAGACACCCTAAAGAAATGTAAAGCTTATCTGAGCTTCATAACTTACTGGGAAACAAGTCTGAACTCATTTAGGCTTCAAAAAAAAATTAAAGATTAAGACATTCTGTTGTGACTTACCTATGAAATCTTTAGAGCCTAGACTAGTTCATAATTCAGTTCATAGTTCACTGTTTCATTGAAACCTCCCCACTGCCTTCCACCTCTAACATCCTGCAGTGATATAATACCACATCCCAGCCTTACTTCATTCAAGAGGGAAAGGCTTGCGGGAAACTACCATCGGGACAGAAGAGGAAAGCCTCATAAAATAAGACATGATTCCAGTACAGAAAGAATATTTGCTGGTCGACATTGCCTCTTTCGCTGCTCATGGGCTATAAACAGACTGATAGAAAGATACCAGCTGGATAAACAAGAGATGGATTGGTAGGTGTAAAGAGATAAGCAACACACGAGATTTTCATCAGAATTCAAGCATGTAAGTTTGCTACATGCAGATTCTCAGTTCATAAACGTAGCAGCATCAAATATTGCAAGGGAAAGCCCTTTCTTAAGAAAACACAGGGCATTTTTGAACACACATTCTTATTAAAATTTATATGATATTAAATATTAATGCACTGAGATGCAAAACATATCTTCACATCCCACTGAGTTGTTGTGAGGGTCAAGTGAAATGAGGCTTAAGATCACTCCTAATTCTTAAAATGTTCTTAAAATGGCCCAATAAAAATTCTGCTGCCAGTTTTCTAATGGAGAAGCTTCTTTTTACAGTGGTTGGTGGTGACCGCACAGACTCATACTGATCAAAATGCTGAGAATGCGCAGTCATGCACAGAACATCTACATCACCTCCCAAGTCTCAAGGAACATCTCTGAAGAGGGAGCCCAAAGAGTAGGATTATAGGAACCACCAACTTCTAAGCATGGCAGGGCTAATTGCTCTCTGGAACCCATAGCAGCTGTAACTAAATGAACACAGTCTCTAGAAGAGTGGGCTTGTCAACAGCCTGTCATGGAAAGGGGAGAGGTTCATGAGGACCTACCCCTTCAATGGTTGATGTAGGAGGAAGGAACATTCTCTTCAGTAGTATATCTGCTGGGTAGTTGCCCATGATTCTGCCAACAACCCCTCATTCATGCTTCTGTGATCTACTCCAATGAAACCCATTGAGCTACTCCCCAAAAAGGCATAGAATTAGAAAGCAGAAGATAATGGGGTTTAATGTGTTCTTACTCCAGAGGTCCAGAAAGGCTCAGTATGAGAGAGAGTAAGAACACTTGCTGTTGAGCCTCCCTCATCCCAGCTGAGGTTCTGCTTCCTGCAGTCACCTTAGTTACCACTGTGCGCCTCTTTCCTGCTTTAAAGGTGTTGGAGCTGTGATGTCTTCCTCGACTCTCCTTGCTCTGGATTTTAATGGCCTTTTAGTGCCTAGCTGCAGAATTTAGTGGTGCTCTGAGAGAATGCCAGACAAGCAGGTGCACTAAACCAGCCAGAGTTAACGAGTCCCCCGACTTGGTTTTACAATGAGGAAATGAAAGACTAGAGAATCCAAGCAACTTACCCAAAGATGATGGTTAGTGGGGGAAGAAAGGAACCCTCTATAGTCCTGTGTTCTTTCCTCTACTTCCTGCTACCTCTGTGGTTAGGTCAGGCAGCCCATATGATGGGATCAGATCTTACTGTCTCAGGATTTCTATCGCTGTGAAGAGACACAATGACCATGGCAACTCTTATAAACAAAAACATTTAATTGGAACTAGCTTACAGTTTCAGAGGGTTAGTCCATTATTATCATGGTGGGTGGCATGCAGGCAGCATGGTGCTGGAAGAGGAGCTGAGAGTAGCAAAGGAGACCTCAAAGCCCACCCTCACAGTGACACACTTCCTCCAACAAGGACACACCCACTCCAGCAAAGCCATATCCCCTAGTAGTGTCACTCCCTATTGGGGGCATTTTCTTTCAAACCACCACACTGCCCTCAATTGATATTATTATCGGCCCCTCTGTAGAGCAGTTAAGAGTGCAGTCACACGTCTGGTCCTGCTTTGACAACTAACATGATCGTCTTATGGGTGAGCATTCCAGAGTGGGCAAGAGGGCATTTTGTATTTATCAGCTCATGTCTGACCATCATTCATACAGAACTGGGAATTTTTGTCAACTTTCATACACAACCAGAAACTAAACAATCTGTTTAAAATTTTTACTGCATAGGCAAATAATCTGAGCTATAAACCAAGGCAAACTTGCAAGCTACAGGGTGCAGCCATGATGGGCAGGTAAGTGACCCTCAAGCTAGTCGCAAATGACTAGAACTTGGTGTTTCAGATCTTGGTGTACAGTAATGCACAGCCCAGCTATCATAGTTTCTGCCAGTAACCTTCACTAACTATGCAGAATGCTTGGTCCCAAACACTTATTCAAAACTGTCCCAGGCTGTCACATCTTCTCCCAGGCCTTTTTCCAGGGGTTACACTTAGCATCACCACACAACTCCAGGAAGGATCAAACTAGCATGGCAGGGGGTGGGTAATGAAGACACCAACAGAACACCCCATATTTCTGCATCCACGTAAGTTATATCTCTTGTCTTGTTTCTTCACATAGACGGATCTACATCCGTGCATTCCCCAGAAACAGTGACATTCTACAGAATGTAGACACCTGTAACACAGTAACATGAGTAACCCTACCTGGCTTGTAGAACCCAAACAGTCAGGTGAAGTGAGAGAATGCTTGCTTCGGAGCCTTTCACCAGTTTCCATCCCATTATCATCTTTCTTTTCCCTGTAGCTAATCAGAGAGTCCTGCCTAAGGCGCAGGGTCTGCTCAGTCCCCATGAATGTGTCCCAAGAGTGTGCACTTACCACTTTTCACCTGGCTGGTGAGGGGGCCCCCTGGTGAGTACTGGGGGAAAACTAAGATTGCTAAGATTTAAGGAGCGCTTGTTCTCACCAGATACTTTGACAGACACTTTATAGGCATCTCGTGTCTACCCAAGATAACTTTATGAGGCAGAAACAATTATTATCTACCATTTATGGCATCAGAAACTGAGACCACGAAAAGTTCTGGATGGTTTAGTTTGCAAGTATAACAAGGGTGGGACAAACCTAATTTTTCCTGATCTGGCAGTTGTGTTCCAATCACCAATCATTACTATCTGATCAAAGTGGAGAAGCTTCAGATTATGAGACAGAAGATTAGGGGCCCAGGACATTTTAAGATGTATGATTTAAAAGTCCATGACAGTGGTCTTCAGAGGTGAGGGCTGAAAAAAAAAAAGCAATATTTGTCAAAGGGCACTGGACCATAGCTAACTGTAAAGGGACAAGGGTCCGAATTAAGGCCAAACAAACGGGAAGAGAAAACCAGCAAAGCTTATAAGAAATCTCTCAAAAACTATTCATTAAAATTTGGTGTTATATTTTTAAGTGAATTAGATGATTCATTCCAAGAAACCCAAATCAGCAATTGGGGGATTTTGATTTGAGATCACTTACATAAACAACATCTGAGAGAAGCCAAGGGATTTGTTTTCCAGTATGTTGAGTTAAAGCTTGATTACTCTTAATTCCAATATTGGAATGTTAACGTAACCCAATCAAACAACTATCTGTTTCAAAATAAGCATGGGAGGTACAGGTCGGCAGTCAATGCCTGAACAACTTGAGATATTAGACGTTGTTATAGGCAATGTCAGAAATACCATGTGAGGGGAATATAGAGATTTCAATGGAGACATGCATAAATAAAATAAACAGAGAGGAGCTTAATGGAGATATTATGTAAGTGCTATGGGACTTCTAAGATTCATTGCTCCTATCGAAGCTAAAGAAGACTGTACGGAGAAGCTGGGGAGCATCTGAGGTGGGATTGCAATGATGGATCAAACATCAGAAAATAGATAAAGAGAAAGGGAGGTTACAGGATAGAAAGAAGGGCCTGCAGCTCTGAGGAGCAGGCTGTCTTAGGAATGCAGTCAGTCTGGGAGCAAAAGTAGATGTTTCTTGGAAAAGAGAGGAGAAAGCATAGTAAAATGCCAGGCAGGGAAGCAGGTTGGAGCCAGATAATGGAAGGCCTTGAAGTCTATTGAGGGAGCTTGGCCTTTGTTCTGTAGATAATTTGAGGTCATCAGAAGCTTGATCATTTGTGACTCATAGGCCAATCTTTTATTTATTTCTATATATAAATATATGATTTTTATGAAGTGCTATCTCTTAGCTCTTCCCAGTCCTCAACTTTCTTTGGTAGGCTGTCCTTGGGTTAATATTCCTAATATCCTTCACTGTTTGTATATTCTGTTCAGGATTTCTTATTAACCCTTCATCTTTACCTAACCCGAAGCTCTCTTTGCTCCTTCCTCCGCAACTCACAGTTGAAAGCATCAACATCAAACAAAGATATCAACAAAAGAACTCTTTCTCTTTGATTTTAATCCTAAAGTCTATTTCTGATATTCTACTCATCTGACCCAGATTCCATTTGCAGTAACAAAAGGAAGACCCTGCCTGAATGCTTTTTCGAAGGCTTCCCTTTAGAGACTTATACTATACCTTCTTTGGGCGCTTTCCTTCAAAGGGCTCAGCTTCAGAGAAAATGGATCTGAAGAAGCAAAAAGGTATCCCTTAGAGATATCCTTCCTGCTTAAGACAGGAAAAAGTGTCTGAATGTGAGAGATGAGAATGTTATTGAAGAGCCTGCTTCAGTCTCTTTCATTCTATCCAACAATGAGAGAGAGAGAGAATTCAAGGATTCCCACCTCTGAGACCTCTAAGTAACAACAGAAATAGTTTGCCAGAAACTGAGCCAAATTTAATTAGATTCTTAGGAATTGTACTTTGGATGTTAGCTAAAATTCTCTCTTTTGTGCCATGAACCCATCCTCAATATCCCATCCTCGATTAAACAAAGAAAAAGAGAACTTCTCCCTTCCTGTTTGACTGTCATTTGAATTGTCACATTTCTTTCTAATTCTTAGAGACTACGTGTTACATTTGAGCATTTTTAATGAAATTTTAAAAATGCAGCTACTTAGTATTTTGTATCTTACTCTTTTCAACATCGAATTATCCCCCCAAACAAACACCCCTCCTCACTTATCTTCCCTGTCTACTTCCTTTTCTTGATCACATGATCCTCTTTAGCTTTTCAGAGCACTTTTGACTCATCAGCTACCAGAGTGGATGCTGGGTGCAATGCAGCAAGGGTTTGGCATGAAGGAGAAAGAGAGAACACTTTCTCCCCTTGTTGGTTGATTTTCTAGTCTTTAAGACAAGTGGGAATTCAGAAATCCACTGATTTTATTCATATTCAGAATTCAAAATGTTTTTAGAATACTGAATAGATCCAAGTAGTCACGTAGGGGACCCAGTCTACAGGCTGAGCGCGCAGCCATGACCTAACTGCAGAGAGAGAGAGAGGATGCACACCATGTGCTGGCATTGTTGTCTTGTACGACCTTTTTACTGACTCCTGGCATAACTAAAGGGAAGAATACCTTCACCGGGTAGGTCCACTCCCTCTAGGAGTTCTGTTCCCTTTTCTTCTGAACCCTACGCCAGAGAGCCACCTGCTCACTCATCTTCCCCTGTCAACAGATTGCATGCTGCCTTGATAGAAGGAAATGGGAATTAAGAAAACCCTCAGAAAGTTTTACCAGTTCCAGATACCTGAATCAGTCCCCTCCCTGTGCCTCACTCTGAATCCTTAGGAAAGAAAACAACAAAGAAAGGGAATCCCACAAGCGTACATCGAATCATTCCATGTAAACCAACGTGTTTCCCCTGGAAGTAAAGTAAATTAGGCAGCTTCCAAAACTGAATTGCCTCCCTCATTCTGCATGGTCTGCCTTCTGTATCCTTTGTCCTGACCAGCACATTTCCATAGCATGAGCACACGCTGTACAAGAAGAAAGACTGCGTGTTCTTCAACCCCTAGTCGCGTTTGGTAGATTATAATTACACTTAGGCTACTGAGTGATCTAAAAAAATGTGCAAGAAATCACATGTAATGTTTAAGCACTTACTGAATTAGCCAGATTCACTAGAATAGAAAGTAAGTACAGACCACTAGTCACCACTGATGTATCGTTTTTGGTTCTGGTGTTTTATGACAGACTGTATTGATTAAGTTCACCTTTAAGAGCCCATGAGACCTGCCCAGCTCCTCTATGTCAGGTGGCAGCTGCATACACAAAATTGGAGATCTTCTTCTCTACCCCTGCAGGATATGACTCACTGTGCACCGTGTGTGTTCTTCAGCTCTCGATCGAGTTATCCCCTGACTCCAGCCTACTCACTCCAGCGTTATGACTATCAGAGCCTATCTTTGGACCTGTCTTCCTTGGCTTCACTTCTCAAATACCTCTGGAATCTTGTGGTTCTTCTCTATCTTGGTTGGCTTCTACATTTGATGTGCCTTCGAGACCATTCTATTTATTCGGTTACCCCAGTGTCTCCGAGGCTCACCCCATTGCCTAACTCAGAGCCTCTTCCCTCTTCTCGTCTTCTTACTTGACTAATCATGGCCAGTATGGATGTCCTAAAACAATGTCATTCGGGGTATGAGAGCTGACCTGGAAGGCTCTACCTCCCGTGCAGGTATGGTGAACAAGATGTGTTTGTCTCCCTGGTTTAGGTTTGGCTATCCAATGGCTTATTACCT